GCGGCCCGGCCCACGCGGCCCGCGGGCCGGCGAGCCTCGCCGCGTCCTCGCCGCGGGCGCCCCCTCGGCGCTCCCCCGCGGCGGGCTCGATCCCCCCCGGCGCCAGCCCCGGCCCCCGGCTCGTGGACGTCCGGAGCGGCTCCCCTTCTCGGGGAGGTGGTGTCGGGTACGGAAGCCGCCCAAGCTGGGACTCTGGCACCGCCAGCCCCAGATGCCCTTCACGTCCGCACGGATCGGTCGGTGCACGGCGGCGCCCCGTTGTTGGGTTTCACCGATGGAATCAACCGAATTGTAACGACGCTTCTCGGCTCGTCGCGCCCGGGGCCGCGAAGTGCAGTTAATTTGGCATCTTCAAATCCTGCCCAACTTTGATAGGAATTAGTGTCAGGGTAAAGTGAGACACGGTGACGGGGTTAGGGACACGCGGAACAGTTCGTAGGGTTAAGCTGGGTAATCTCGAGGAACTAGTTATTTCTAAGTAAAACCGGTTCATTTTTTGTAAGGAAGTCTCTGCATTTACCAAAAAAAAAAAAAAAAAAAAAAAAAAGTCCCTAACGTTGGAAAGGTGTGGTCTTTCCATATCGGACGAGCTTTTGATTTTTGATTTGCTGCAAGGAGTTCAGGCTGTCAGATAGTGGGGAAAGAGACGGGGGTCACCCTTTTCGATGAACTTTTCAGTTGCTTTGAACTAGTTCAGCTCTTCTGCTGCCTGCTTGTGCCTTAGTGTCGGGCTGTGGCTCTTTGTGATATAGGTGACTCTAAATTGCAACAATTTGTGATACCCAGAATTGACACTGAAAAGAAAAAAAAAATGTTTTCATACCGAAGTTTGATGGTACTAGCAACATAGCTGGTGCCCCACAAGTTATGTGTGTACGCAAAGTAGGACGCCGAGAACAGTGCCTCAATAAGGAAGTCCATTTTCTGTACTGAACTGGAGGAGACCGGTAAAATTTGCTGTGTCTGCTTTTCATCACGACTGTGGCAACAGTAAGAGTGTTAGCGATAAATACCCCTTAGCTGCCCACCCTCAGCCGTCGCTGCCGCAGTTAGGCCACAGAATATGGGTCTATCTGATCCGATTCCGTGTCCTGTGCCAGGTTCCCATAGCCAGGAGCTCTGAATTCAGTTCTGTTCTCCCAGTCTTTATTTGCAGAGTTGAATAAAGGCTTTAACCTCCTGCCGGGAGGGGTGCAGCCCACATGTTCATACATATATGCATGTGTTTTTCAGACAGCTCCTAACAGAGAGCAGATTAAGTGCTAAAATAAACTCTGACCTTGAGACATTGGTTCTCCATAGGATCATTGCATTGTTTGATATGTGATCTGTTTTACTTCTTCTCGCTTTGTGTAAATTAGGGCCAGGCCTCCTCTTTTGGTGTATATGGACTATAAACTAGTTTTACACTGCCTTTGGGCAGTGAACGAGGACTGCACTTTCCCGAAAGGATATTTGTACCCTAGTCTCTTTGATAATTGATTTCATGACATTTGAGAATTAATTATGAGCCGATGAGTATCGGGTTTTTGTTAACATTGCACTGATTCCTTGCTGTTGAATGTGTCTTCCCAGATTACATACACTCTGCCTGCAGGAACACTTACCAGGGCTTTAACGGTAAGTAGCCTGCTTCATTTCCTTTTATATTTGTTGAGAAGATATATTTTAGATTTTCTTTTTGTATCCATAAGACACAAGTATTAGTGCAAAGAGCCCAACCCAGTTTGTTTCAGATATTGTTTTGACTCTTGAGTCATAAATCTCAGTGTTAATGTCATACTATATATAGCGTCTATTTTTTTGGTGTGTGCGTGAGTGTGTGTGTGTGTGTGCTGGGAATCTCATGAATGTTATGCAAATGTGCCACAGTGATAGCTCTAGTTCTGTGTATGGTATTTGAACGTGGGATCAGAACAGGAAGTTAGGTTACTTGGCTTCCTGTCTGTTTTATTTTACTAGCATTCTTTTATTTCATTTCTGACTACATTCTGAGTGATTGATTTGCAGGATGCTGGCTGAATTACTGTGGTTGAATTTGACATTGGAGTCACTTAGTAGAATGAGTCGATTGTTATCTTGCTCCCATACAGCTTTTGTTGTAATGCATGTTGGCTCTGCTTTTCAGGCCATTTTTTGCTGACCAAATGAGTGAGTGATAAAGAGCTGTTGTGAGCAGCACAGGAACAGTGCTGGTTGCCTGTTGACAAAAGCCTGCTGTTGGCTTGTGATTAGCTGCGGTCCTAAGAGATACGCAGAATGCCATGCATATTGTTTTGATGGTTAATAGAGTTGAGGCGCTGCCATATGAAATGATAACAGAAAAAAAGCACAGAATAATTTGGAGGTTAAAAAAAATTACATGAACGACATGAGGGAGAAGTAATAAATGTCTTTGATCACCAGAGACATGCATAGTCCAGCTGCTGTCCCAAGTATGTAGTAATGAAACCAAAGCAAATGTACTGCTAAAGGCTGCCATTAAAATTGTCTGTGTGTATGTGTGTGTGTGCCTGCATTTCTGTGAGTGTTTTCGATACTATTGAACCCCAGAAGAAGGCGTTGGATCCCTTGGAACCGGGGTACAGGTGGTTGTGTGTAGCCGGCTGTGGTTCTGGGAGCCATCCAGGGTGCTCTGCAGGAGCAGGGCTGCTCTCGCTCTTCACCACTGTGCCGTCTCACCAGGCCCATCTGTGTAGATAGTTAATCTCTGTCATCTCTAAAATTAAGAGAGGCCTCAGATTTGAGAAAGGCTGTTCTGTGGAAAGCAGCATGCATTTAGTGAGGATGAAGAACATGGGTTTGAAGACAGGATGTAGTAAAATTAACAAAGGAAGTTAATTTTGTATTGACATTAGGCCAGATCAGAGGCTAGAAAATTATCTAAAGAAAACTTTTAATACCCTTGGATGTAGGGAAATGATGGTACTCATTTAAGAAATGTTAAGGTGTTTTCTATAGGAAATTAACAGAATGTAGAGGCCATTAAGATTGGGTAGAGAATAGAGTTAGATAAAAATGATCCAAGATTTTAAACTGAAGTAGGTAGGGCTAGTAGATTTGGGTGATAGAAAGCTTTACTGGAGAAGTAGAATTGATATCCAAAGATAGTAGTTGGAATTCAAAATCACATAAGTCAAGGTTATTTCATTGCTAATGCGTTGAAAAGCCCTAATATTTCAACTTTTTCTAATGTAACTGCAGTAGTGACTCTCCCTGAAGGGATTGTCATAATTCCCTAGAAACATTTTCCACGTGAGTGTTGTTCAGGCTGTAGCCTAGGCCTCTTGGTGCTTAATTTGGCAAAGGGTCCCTGACTGTGTGGACCGAGTACTCTGAATAAAGATTTTGGTGTTTACCTCGAATGTTTACTACTTGAAAATACTGTGAGGTATTAGTTTGTATTTTATATATGAGTAACTAAAAGGGTTTGATTTGCCCTCATTTAACACCTTTTCAGTACTTGCTGTTTACCAGGTAATGTTCCGAGAGCTGGGGACTTGGTCTTTGAACAGAATGGACACATAATCCTGTCTTTGTGGAACTAACTTCCAGTCTAAAGGATTAAACATGCAAAATGTAGTTTTAAAAATAACATTGTATGTTAGAAGATAACAGTTGTTGGGGAGAAATGATAATGCAGGAAGAGAGACAGGTTATATGTGTGCGCTGTGATCTTGGAGTCACTGAGAAAAGGCTCAAGAAAAAGATGGTGTTTGAGCATAGAATAAAAAGAGGTGAGGACGCCTGGAAAGAGAATGTAACCGACTTGAGGAAACAGTAACAAAGGATGTGTTGGTTCCAAATGAAGCTGGTGATACGTTGTTAGCCTTTTTACTTTCTATCTTTCCATGGAGATATGATACCGATTTTCTCCACACCGTGTTTTAGGAAGGATTTGTATTTCTAGGGGCCCCCTGTTTTCCTGATTTCATCACCTTCTTATGGAAATAGCAGAAAGGAGAACAGTCTTGTAGAAGGAAATACATGAGCACAGGAAGGACCGAGGACACGGAAGTGTGAAGAGAGTAAGAGGACTGGTCTGACCAGAGCAGATTACTTTTGCTGAGCAGTCTGAAGACAAGGTTAGAGAGCCGAGGTAGAGCCAGAAGGCATTGAAAACCAAAGGCAACCTGCCCATGTAGAAGAGTCAGCAGAAAATGAAGACCTAGAAGAGTGTGTGAGAGGCACTGCAGGTGTGAGGAGAGCATTGGTAGAGGAGCGGCAAGTGGGAACCGGGTGAGCATGTATGTGTTGTCTTTTAGAGACAGCAAGGAGCCTTTGCAAGTTGTGTGCAACAGATGAGGTTGTAAGGCGTCACGGGTGAGGAGGTGATAGGGCATGTGTATATGGTTTCTCAACTGTTGACATTTTGGATTAGCTAATATTTTTATTGTAGAGTAGTTGTGTGTGTGTGTGTGTGTGTGTGTTCATCCGTGTGTCCATCCTGTGCAGTCACTGCAGAATATTTAGCAGCACCCTCAGTCGCTATGTGTAGATGTCAGTAGCACTTTTCTGCCTTGTTTTGACCCCTAGAAATGTGTATAGACACTGCCTGTGCTCCTTGGCGGGGGTAGGAGGGAGGGAGGTGGTATGACAGCCTTGCTTCTGGTTACAAACGCAAGCATAGGACCTGAGTTTGAATCCACATCACCCAAGTAAGAAGCCAAGCACAGTTGTACATGGACTGTGCTTTAGTGCTGTGAAGGGTGGAGACAGTGTCACCGTGACTTCCTGCCTGTCAGCCTAGCTCCACACATCAGGGAGAGACCTTGTCTCAAGGAAGTGAAGCAAAGACTGCTAGAACAGGGCAGTTGGCTTCGTCCTCTGGCAGCCACGTATGTGCACAGTTGTGTGCACCTCCCATATGCACACGCAGAAACATACATACATACACATGCACACGCAGAAACA